GCCGGCGGAGGTTTGTTTCCACCCCCAATACTAACAATCCCTTCTCGAAAAGCTTTACAAAAACAAGGGAAGTAATGTATTTATTTTCCTAGGTATTAGTTTCCATCCAAATGATTCCGAAAAGAAAACATGAGATGCACATTAAGTCTCTGAAACACTTGTTCTATTAGCTTGTTTGCAGGTATCGCCATTGCTGGAAGGATCTGCTCGAGAATGGGCACGGAATTAAAACTACCTGGCCCCTTCAGAAGGAATAACTTCCTTTCAGCCTATGAATTTTCTTCCACCATTTAAGTTATGGATCAGGTGGACGTAGATTCTCTGCATTGTTGTACATATTATCGACAAGATGATGTTCTTCAAAAATGCAAATATTGACTAGATGAGATTCGACAATGAGCAATGCATTACGAGCAAGAAGCACAATTTGGCTTTATCGAGTGAACTTGGGGGGAAATTTGCTACGAAAAACTAGTCAAATAATGGTCTACGCACCAACGTCCTAGAGCTAAGATTTTCAGAACGAGGTTTCTACGCTGTAAGAGTCAATATCATCATACTGGTGGAATGTAAGTACATGCATTTGTCTGTGTATAGTAAATGCTACTGGTCGGAGAAGTGTGGGACCTGAAATGACTCGTTAATTTTTCGTAGTAATTCTTCTGGAAGGACTCCGATTTTTATTTCTCGTAGCACGAACATAGTATGAGGATTATAGCATGGCTGATGTAAAGAGCTGCGATGAGTTCTGATTTAAGTCTATAGGCATACAACAGTACTTGAGATGCGCGGTGTCAAGAATCAGTCTCTGCATACTGATGCCGATGCCCAACATCCACTGCTGAGGCCGGGCTTTGTCTGCTGCTTTCCTCCTTGTTTATTTGCAGTTCGAGCCTACCCTCTAGATCGGACTCATCGAACTCTCGCCCGTGCCTTTGTATCATGGGAATGATTTTATGCAGACTCCTCCAACAGGACTGTACGTTGGAGAAGAAAGAGAGGCGCAACAGGTTCGGGTTTGGGGCTCTTATCGGGTTTAAGTTTAAAGTGTTAGTGGGTTTGGGTATTAGGAATGAGCGGTTGTAATGGTTCGTTCAAGAAAAAAAGTTGAACATAATGGAATACTCCCCGAATATGATAACTGTTGTGTCAAAAGCTGTGTCGAGAAACCAAACCAAACGCCAATCCAAGAGAGCCAAACGAACTAAATATCAATGCACAAGCAAAACACCAATTTTAACGTGGTTCGGCAAGTTGCCTACGTCCACAGGGCATGCAGAAGGGGATGGAGTTTTCACTAATAGAGAAGAAGAGTACAAATTGAGATTACAAATCACTCGAAACAACAAACTAATCTCACCAACAAAATTCTTAATCTTTCCAAACAAAACCCTAACCAAAAGCTTAAAAAATACCTCTTTTTTGCTCCAAATATCCCCAATCAATGTTTAATCAAAGCCCAATCAAAGCCTAAACAAAGTCAAGGAAACCCTATAAAAATGTGTCTCTATTTATAGCAAAACACAATCTCAAACTGATTGGGATTCTAAAAATGAGTCTGCCACACCCTGGGGTGGCAGACACCACACCCATGATAAACAGGGCAGATTCTGTCATACTAGGATGTGGCAGACACCACACCCATGACAGACAGGGCAGATTCTGTCATACCCATGGCAGACACCACATCAGGATGTGGTGGAGTCTGTCTTGCTTATTTTTCACGTTTTTCTCAATTCTTTTCCTCAATTCCTTCGCCGTTTTCACAATTCTCCACATCGGTGAAGTTTTCCCAAAACTGAGCCGACACCAACCAAAACAAATGCCTCACTTGTTGCATCCAGTATGTCACGGCAACAGACTCATGACAACGGACTCCATCCACACAAGTCGAGACCCAAACGGGAGTGCGAACACTCACCCAAACGTCGGTATCTACTCACCAAATCGGCTGCATCAAAACTGTCTGCCTACGTATACTCTTGTCCAAGGAATCAAGCCTTCACGTAGTTCACCCAAACGGCCTCCAAAGGCCCTCAAACAAATAGAAAAGTCTGCAACTCTTCCCTAATATCGTCAACGGATCTGCAACTGATAGCGGCCCCAAACTGATACAAATCAAACACCTCCATCTGAGGTGAACCAATGGCCGTATCCAAATCATGTCCACCAACTGCAACCGAATCCAAAACCAATCCATCATCTGCATCCGAAATCAAATGATCCCCAACCTGTGTCACCTCAGCTGGAATCCCAAATGACGCAGTATGATCTGGAGTATATGGAATAAGTTCCACCCAACGTGAAGTAGAATCACCCTCCACCTGCTGCGATATCCAAACGACCTGATCAAATTGTTGTGCCAAACGAACGCCAATCGAAGAGAGCCAAACGAACTAAATATCAATGCACAAACAAAACATCAATGTTAACGTGGTTCGGCAAGTTGCCTACGTCCACGGGGCAAGAAGGGGATGGAGTTTTCACTAATAGAGAAGAAGAGTAAGAAGATTACAAATCACTCGAAAGAACAAACTAATCTCACCAACAAAACTCTTAATCTCTCCAAACAAAACCCTAACCAAAAGCTTAAAAAATACCTCTTTTTTTGCTCCAAATATCCCCCAATCAATGCTTAATCAAAGCCCAATCAAAGCCTAAACAAAGTCAAGGAAACCCTAAAAAATGTGTCTCTATTTATAGCAAAACACAATCCCAAACTGATTGGGATTCTAAAAACGAGTTTGTCACACCCTGGGGTGGTAGACACCACACCCTGGGGTGGCAGACACCACACCCATGATAAACAGGGCAGATTCTGCCATACTAAGATGTGGCAGACACCACACCCATGACAGACAGGGCAGATTCTGTCATACCCATGGCAGACACCACACTAGGATGTGGTGGAGTCTGTCTTGCTTATTTTTCATGTTTTTCTCAATTCTTTTCCTCAATTCCTTCGCCGTTTTCACAATTCTCCACATCGGTGAAGTTTTCCCAAAACTGAGCCGACACCAACCAAAACAAATGCCTCACTTGTTGCATCCAGTATGTCACGGCAACAGACTCATGACAACGGACTTCATCCACACAAGTCGAGACCCAAACGGGAGTGCGAACACTCACCCAAACATCGGTATCTACTCACCAAATCGGCTGCATCAAAACTGACTGCCTACGTATACTCTTGCCCAAGGAATCAAACATTCACGTAGTTCACCCAAACGGCCTCCAAAGGCCCTCAAACAAATAGAAAAGTCTGCAACTCTTCCCTAATATCGTCAACGGATCTGCAACTGATAGCGGCCCTAAACTGATACGACCGTATCCAAATCATGTCCACCAGTTGTAACCGAATCCAAAACCAATCCATCATCTGCATCCGAAATCAAATGATCCCCAACCTGTGTCACCTCAGCTAGAATCCCAAATGACGCAGTATGATCTGGAGTATGTGGAATAAGTTCCACCCAACGTGAAGTAGCATCACCCTCCACCTGCTACGATATCCAAACGACCTGATCAAATTGTTGTGCCAAACGAACGCCAATCGAAGAGAGCCAAACGAACTAAATATCAATGCACAAACAAAACACCAATTTTAACGTGATTCGGCAAGTTGCCTACGTCCACGGGGCAAGAAGGGGATGAAGTTTTTACTAATAGAGAAGAAGAGTACAAATTAAGATTACAAATCACTCGAAAGAACAAACTAATCTCACCAACAAAACTCTTAATCTCTCCAAACAAAACCCTAACCAAAAGCTCAAAAAATACCTCTTTTTATGCTCCAAATATCCCCAATCAATGCTTAATCAAAGCCTAAACAAAACCAAGGAAACCCTAAAAACGTGTTTTTATTTATAGCAAAACACAATCCCAAACTGATTGGGATTCTAAAAACGAGTCTGCCACACCCTGGGGTGGCAGACACCACACTCATGGTAAACAGGATAGATTCTGCTACACCAGGGTGTGGCAGACATCACACCCATGACAGACAGTACAGATTCTGTCACACCCATGAAAGACACCATACCAGGATGTGGTGGAGTCTGTCTTGCTTATTTTTTACGTTTTTCTTAATTCTTTTCCTCAATTCCTTCGACGTTTTCACAATAACCCCAACTACATGGACGGACTTGTATCAGCATGTTAATGCAATTTGGGGGGCTAATACCCGAGTATGAAGATCCCGAGGACTAATATTAGAAAAAAACTAATGATTTAAGGGACTGTTATCTAAAAAAAACATTTATTTAATATTCTAAAAGGAATGACCTATAATAGAATCATTGTGATTATCATCCTTATTTGCCCCTATCACGCTATATCTGTGCCATAATCTTTCACGTGTCGATCAACTTATATATATTGTTGTGATATTTGTAAGGAAATCGAAGGGCAATAGTTAAATTCCTTTCCCAATTTGTTATTTTTTTTAAACAGTTGGTCACTTTTATAATCAATCGTTCGTTTTTCTTACAACTTTTTACTACACTGTTTATATGAGAAGACGAAGATCCATGACAAAACAAATTAACACCCAATGGGCTAGTCTAATATAAAAACGTATTTAATTATCCAGAAAAAAAAACATTTATCCATTTCTCCTATATATTTTACTAAATGCAAATGGAAATGTGATTCACTTACCATTGGTACACATTTTTAATTTGTGCTCAGCATACACCTATCCTTAAATACCCCCATTACCAAACATAAATTCTTGCTTAATTTATTTCAATTTATTCCCTATCAAATTAACGTATATATCCTCCATCAAATCCCCAAATATCTTCACGCACAACTGTCTAATATCTTTCAATATCCATCTTACCATTTTTAGCTTGATTATAGGTTATCTTTACCACTTATCATAGCCCTTATCTATCTTAATTTTTATATTTATAATCATAATCCTTTTCATCTTCTACTCTTCTTCTTCCTCTTTCTTTCTTTCTTTCTTTCTTTGTGCTTTACAATTTTGAGTGAAAATGGCGCCTGGAGTTGTTATGCCAAGATCAGGGGCCCCACCAAATGAGTTTGAAGGGAGGGTCACAATCTATGTTGTGGTTTGTGGGATTATTGCAGCTACCGGTGGTCTCATGTTCGGTTATGATATTGGAATCTCAGGTTTGCATACTTTTTTTTTTATTAAATGCAGATAACAATGTTTATCTATACCTTCAGTAGAACTTATCATTTCTCGATTATTTTTTTTACAATTTATCGCTCCTGGATTGTTATGTTAGAAAAAATATGAAGACTGATAATTGATCAATGCTGCTATAGATAGATATAAGGGGGTTTGTCTGAATCACCTTATCTTTTTAATGAATCCTTAGTTTGAGTATTTCGTTAATACAAGACTGGTGAAATATGGTTTTCACTTAATTTATATGGAGGATTTTTGGTTGCGGTACTCATCAGATTAAATGTTTAAGCTAATTTATTTTAATATATAGTTGGTAGTTGTAACAATTGTAGTCTGTAAACCCTTTTGGCTTTTTAGATCAATCTCTATTTCTCCTTTTTTGCAAGGGAAAAAATGATGCATGAAGCTCAGTCTTATATATCATGCTTAGATTTGTTTTTATTTGAAGAGGAAAAATTAATCAATGAAATCTATTACGAAGCCGCAAAATAGTTTTTATCGTAAGTAGTAAACTAATAAGTTTCATTTATATATTTATGATATATATAGTATATATAGTATATTATATTACTAGTATATAGTATATATATATAGTAAAAGCGTTATGCTCAACTAAGTGGATAGGAAAGGAGTCATGAGCCACGGAAGTATTTTTTATCCGTTGATAAGCATTATAGGAGTATGATGAAGAGTAATGAGATCTTGTTAAGATGTGAGCCATCCTTTTTTGGATGGCACAAGTCTTGAGACTAAGATATAAGTGGAAGAAAAAGTTGAGTGAGAAGGCTCTCACTATGCGCACTTAAACTGATAGGAGTTTTACTCTCTCTCTCGATTACGAGGGTCCGTGGCTATATAATATATATATACTATATATAGTATATATATAACTATAATATATACTATACGTATATAGTATATATAATATAATGATTAATACTGAGCGTCCGAAGGCTCCAACATTTTTTTTTAGTTTGAAAGAATATAATAAGCTAACTAACTTATGTTGTCACTGCCAATTAATTATCTTTTTGCACAGGAGGAGTGACATCTATGGATGATTTCTTGGAGAAATTCTTCCATAAAGTCTATCTGAAGAAACACCATGCAAGAGAGGACAACTATTGCAAATTTGACAACCAAGGACTCCAACTATTTACTTCATCTCTTTATCTTGCTGCTCTTCTCACTAGTTTTCTTGCATCCAAAACCTGCACAAGATATGGTAGAAAACCCACAATGCAAGCTGCCTCCGTGTTTTTCTTGGTCGGAACTGTGCTCAATGCCGCTGCCGTGAATCTCTGGATGCTCATTATCGGGAGACTTCTTCTTGGGGTTGGAGTTGGATGTGCTAATCAGGTATTACATAAGTGCTAAGGGCGCGTTTGGTTGCCTCTTTTAGAGGGGGAAATGGGTTGAAAGCCTATCAAAAGTGTCAGTTTTGACAGGCTTTCTTGCAAAAAACGTCTCTTTTAGATGCGTTTTTGCAAGAAAGTCTGTCAAAACTGACGCTTTTGGCAGGCTTTCCCCTTCCCCCTTATGCAAACAAACAGCCCCTAATTGTATACACTTTTCTAGTGACTGTTGTTTTTATGGTAAATGTCATAAAACTCCCTTTAAGTTTCGTCGAGTTTGAATAACTCCCTTATAAACTTTAAAAATGTCACTTTACTTCGCTCAAGTTAATTTTTGTCTGTTAGCCCAGTAACAAACACTGTTGTATCTGATTGCACACGGGAGATTCACATGCATTCATAGGATAAAAATGCACCTGAAGGGGAAAAACCCCCCTCTCAGTGTGGTCGAGTGACATTTATAAAGTTTAGAGAGCTCATCTCAGAAGACAAACAACCAAACTTAAGAACGATTTGGTGAAATTTACCCAATAAATAGTGAGTTATCCTATAAATTAAATGCTAGGCATCTAAACTTTTATCTTCAACGCGTTTAATACTTGTTAAGCATTTTTTTTTCTCCTTAACTTTTTCAGGCAGTCCCATTATTTTTATCCGAAATAGCCCCTGTAAAATTACGAGGAGCACTCAACATCCTCTTCCAACTAATGGTAACAATCGGCATCCTTGTTGCCAATCTCGTCAACTACAAAGCCTCCACCATCCACCCTTCGGGATGGCGCCTCGCCCTCGGCCTCGCCGGAGTCCCTGCAGCCATTCTTTGCATCGGTTCCTTCATCATCCCTGAGACTCCGACGAGCCTCATCGAGCGTCAAGAACTCGATCAAGGCCTCTCCGTCCTTAAAAAGATCAGAGGGACCGATAACGTTAGCCTTGAGTACAAAGAAATTTTGCAGGTAATCAAGTCGGTGTTCGTATTTGCATTAGATCTTGTATTTGATTAAAATCTGCTTGTAGAACATAACAAAAAAAATAAGCTACAAAGGGATAGAAGTGTTTCAGTAATTTTGTTTCTCGTTAGCTCGTTTAGTAAAATAAACTGCAAAGAACTAAAATGTAAATGTTAACAGGCTAGTGAGTTGGCAAAGGAAGTGAAGCATCCGTTCAAGAACCTAAGGCAACCGTCGAGTCGGCCACCGTTAGTGATTGCAGTATTGATGCAAATATTCCAGCAATTTACCGGAATCAACGCCATCATGTTTTACGCACCGGTGTTGTTTCAGACGATCGGATTCAAGAACGATGCGTCCTTGTTGTCGGCGGTTATAACGGGGACCGTTAACGTTCTGTGCACCATTGTTTCCATTGTTTTTGTGGATAAAGCTGGGAGGAAAATACTGTTATTGTCTGCCTGCATCCTCATGTTAATTGCTCAGGTTATCCTGCATTTCAGTATTTCTGTATTAATTTCTGTCATGAAGTCATAGCTAAGTTTGTAATTTTACTTTAAAATATCGACTTAAGTCGAACAAATGTATAGTAGATTGGAAGTTTTAACATATTTATAGAAATTAAATAATTGTTAAGACTTTTAAATCTTTAAGTATATGCTAAATGAAGTACGGAGAGATTGATCAGAGCATGTGGACTTGACAAATTCTATATTTTGGTAGTTCATTTTATTTTATGAGACAGCGGTTCGTATCACATAACCTTTATTAATTTATATTCTACTATACCATGCTAATGTCCTTACCATAGCTGTAGGCCTGTAGTATCGTCATAGAGCTTGCAGAATCTGTAATTCTACTTTGGCAAATGGACCCTGAGCAATCTTTTTTGACTCTTTTAGCCTCAGATAGACTCGCTAATTTCAACTAGGGCAATATCTGCCAAAATTTCACCTAAGATAAAAGTGGCAAAAAGATTTCACCCATCGGTGTATATGCCAAAATCAAACTACATAGGTATTAAGTTCAAACAATAATTATATAGAGTCTACGTGAAATTTACCCTTCAAAATCTTGTGTACTTTTACTTCCTCATTTCTGATCTTTGTTTCCCCTTGACAGACAACAATTGGAGGAGTTCTACATGCAAATCTGAAGGCAACCAACAATCTCAATCATAGTGTCGCGATAGTGGTAGTCGTATTTGTATGCGTCTTTGTTGGAAGTTTTGCTTGGTCATGGGGCCCCCTTGGTTGGTTAATCCCTAGTGAGACCTTCCCTTTAGAAACAAGAACAGCTGGTTTTTCCTTCGCAGTGAGCTCCAACATGCTCTTCACCTTCATCATAGCTCAAGCTTTCCTCTCTATGATGTGTCACATGAGAGCATCCATCTTCTTCTTCTTCTCCGCTTGGATCGTCGCCATGGGACTTTTCGTGGTGTTTCTTTTGCCCGAGACGAAGAATGTGCCTATTGATGAGATGATTGAGAGAGTTTGGAAGTTGCATTGGTATTGGAAGAGGTATATGGATGATGATGATAAATTGGAGAAGATTGAAAGGGGTGGTTGATCATTTGATTTCTAAGTCTTTTGGATTGTGTTTTCTTTGGTACCTACTACTAAAACAATCTCTTTGCACGAAAATACTGTGGACTTTATATTGGAACATTGATTGTTAGAGCTAACTTTCTTCTTGCATTATGATAAGGTTATGTTATGAAAGATTATTTGTCATGTTGAGGACTTTTTTTTTCTGTTGAGGATATTTTTGGTATTACACAAACTCTCTCTCTCTCTCTCTCTCTCTCTCTCTCTCTCTCTTCTTTTTTTTTAACGGGTGAGATCCTCTTATCAATTTGTTTTGTATGATGAGGTCTGGACCTGTAACAAACCTGACATTAGAGTTTTTAGTAGTGATTGGATTTTCTAACCACGTTACTAGCATATGCAATTATATTACAGTAGTGAGATCAAACATCTACCAAAATTTTTAATTTTAATTGTCTCCTCCAAATCAGCGCACGTCGTAATGTGCTCCCGAAGATTAGCCTACGTGGCTGACTAAATCTTCAGAGTCGTTACAGCTAAGTCTCATGTGGATGACGAGCCTCGTTTTTTATTGAAACGGAGTTCGTCAAACTGGATGAGCCTCGATACGCAGCGAGGTTCGTCTTCTAAGGCCAACTTTGCAGTACAGCGAACTCTATCTTCACTGACGTCGTCTGACGAGCTTCGTATTCACTAACGAACTTCATCTTCGACAGCTGAGTCCAACTACGTAGCAAGTCTTGTGAATTTTCTTTTGACGAGCCTCATATTCACTAATGAGCTTTACGTCTGGTGGTGAGTTCCGACCCTCGTATCCAATGACGAGTTTCGAACCTCATTTTCAATGATGAGCTTCGAACCTCGTTCCCAATGATGAGCTTCAAACTGTATCTTCAATGACGAGCTTCATCTTCCAGAGTAGCTTTGTCCACAGTGATGAACTTTGATGTCGAGCTTCGCGACGTAGCTGTCACGCCCCGGGCCCACGGGCCCGTTGGCACGTGCAAGCCGTGGGACTCACTGAGTGTAACGTGCTATTTGACTCAAACCACTGTCAAAATCGACTAGCCGATGTTACACTTGAGTTTTTAGCTTCACTATATAAACTCTTTAAATTTTCTCATTCTCACCGATGTGGGACTAAGTTTGGTGGGACGTCACATTCACCCCACCTTACAAAGACGACGTTCTCGTCGCGGCATGACAATTAGCACATCCCAGTATCACCGCCAGGCGATGTGGACTCTAGAGGTGGCTCCTACGGGCTCTAAAGGTGACTCTCACCGCATCACACAGTGTAGCACTTAGCTCCACACTTCCGGCTGGCGACTGCTCTGATACCATTTGTCACACCCCGAGCCAACGGGCCCGTTGGCGCGTGCAAGCCGTGGACCCACCGAGTATAACGTGCTATTTGACTCAAACCACTGCCAAAATCGAAATGTGACGTCCCACCAAACTTAGTCCCACATCGGTGAGAATGAGAAAATTTAAAGGGTTTATATAGTAAAGCTAAAGACTCAAGTGTAACATCGGCTAGTCGATTGAAATGCATATTTTTATCAGAAACAACATGTTCGTGACCCAAATTGATTCAGACATATTTTTTATGCAGACGTGGGAACATTGGAAGAACGGAAAGATGTTTGAAATAATCGACACATCCATAGTTGAGAACTGCCGTGAAAATGAAGTGCTGAGATGCATCCAGATTGGACTGCTATGTGCTCAGGAACTTCCAGATAATAGACCTCTAATATCACAAGTAGTTCTCATGTTCAATAGTCCATCGATGGATATTCCAGTTCCCTTGAAACCTGCACATTATGCTTCGATGAGAGAAGGGAGTTCGGTGAATGAGGATCCGATTTCTGAACTTCAACCTAGGTAGATACTGCCCATACTGTCAAGAATTAAAAGCTTGATATTTCTAACTGTTCGTGGTCAAATTTGATCTAAGTAATGAATAATCAAGAGAGTTTTTGTTTCCCTGATCGTTTGGTGTTTGGTCAAATAAGGAAGGTTAACTGATATTTCTATAGTATGGGCTCGGGGTTTGCGAAGTTTATCGTGTTTGGTCTAATAAGGAAGGTTAAGTGATAGTTCTAAAGTAAGGGCTCGGGGTTTGCTAAGTTTACCGAGTTTGGTCTAATAAGTGTTTGGTCTAATAAGGAAGGTTAAGTGATATTTCTAAAGTATGGGCTCGGGGTTTGCGAAGTTTACTGTGTTTGGTCTAATATGGAAGGTTAAGTGATATTTCTAAAGTATGGCTCGAGGTTTGCGAAGTTTACTCTACATTTTAACTGTAAGGTAGTATGGCAATTGAGGTAATCAGGTTAAGTGAACTTGCCAAACTGACCCTAAGTTGCACTGAACTTTAGTGTGTATGGAACAAATGACATTACAGAGGGTAGTAATTTCCAAAACATGGAGGTAGTAATTTCCGGAAATGAAGACAGCTACTCAAATTAAATATCAAAATAGCCTATGTCATTTATACATCAGAGTTTCTCACTGAAGTCCACTCACCCTCGCTCTTTGCAAAAACGACTTATATCAAGAAAAGTACTGTACAAGATTATTTCCTCATACCTAGAAAAAGAATATGTCTTAGCAGAGCTCAACCATTTCGGTTTAGATCACTGTTCCACTCGGGACCAAAGCGTCCTTGATTATAGTCACAATGCCACTCTTGATGAAGTATCCATCAGTCTCTCTTGCTGATTCTTGCACATTGTCGCTGTTGATGATCTGAAGTAGCAGTGAAGTGGATCGTCAGAATGGAACTTTAACATATACGAAAATGTGCATGAGTAAATGATGAAGTTGATAAAAGGAAAGATATCAAGCATGATATATTTAGATAGCATAGTCAAGGGTTTAATGTGAAGTGTCATGACTTCGGGAGAGTTTGTAGTTTGTCTTATTTAATAGGGTTAGTTTTGGACCGTTAGTAGTTTATGTCTCATTTAATAGGGTTAATTGCGGATAGACTCCTTGTAGTAACGCTGTTTTGAACTTGTTTTTTTCGTAAATAGAATTTCTAAGGAGCAAACGAGTTTAAAATTTCACCCAGTGGGTCTATCGGCAAAAGTAAAGGTGGGGTAGTAAGTTCAAAACAACAATAAGAAAGGGGGTCTATCTGTAATTAACCCAATTTAATTTCGTTAAGTAGTAGGGTCCAGAGGTAGCTATTGGCAATTTAATGTGGGGGTACTTTTGTGGGTTTGTTGGATACTAACAATTCCTCTATGAAGTAGGAATAGGAGTTAGTTTTTGCCAAAAATGGAAGGACGCTGTGGGTGCTTGATTTGAAGATAATGCCAAAATAATTATTACACCCTAACTCCTGTGTGCTTTAGCAGGAGTTAGCTAGAGTTTAAGCTAATATATTAATTAATTAATATATTAATTACTAGACGCAGCATTATATTTAGACTGGCATGGAAATATATCAAGAACTCATGATTCATCACTAGTGTCATATGCTAAAATTTATACAAGCTGACCCTGCATGAATCATGGAATAACTTCTCTGATCGACTTATTTCTCTCGGTCTTGTTCAGGTTATAAAGTTAATTAGTGATGAAATAAATATTGAATCATTGATCAGGGGGACTGAGCTCCAAATTGAAGGATTCATGACTGGTAATATGGACTAGCTGGATTCCTAATAGACACCTAAAACCTGCTAACTCCTGTCGCCAAAAAGGGCCTAATAGTTGCTAAACTTGAAGATTTTGTCAAACTTTTTTGACACAAACAAAGAATATGAGAACAGAATTATATACACAGCAGTTTACAGACAAAACTGTAACAGCAATACCTTGACATTATCCCCAATACGAGCATTCTTGTCGATAATAGCTCTTTTGATGTGAGAATTCTTTCCAATACCAATAGGGACGCTCCCTTTTGCAGCTAGGAACCGCTTGTCTGCCTCAGTCTGCCAGCATATCATAATGTAACAGCATCGTTTCAAAGTTCAGACAGTTTAATTAAATCACTAATAAAGTCAAATAACAGAAAATCCTCCGGTCTACTTCTGTGATATCATTTTTTACGAGAAATTACCTCATAGTAGTCTGCTCCCATGAGTAAAGTATCTTCTATTATTGCACCCTCAGAAATACAAGAACGAAGACCAACTACAGAATGGTGAATCTTGCAATTCTGCAGTGAAGAAAGAGAAAGTTGTATTTATTTATCAAAGGGCCTTATTTGCCGTCAATCTAACATATGGCACCACCTACAAAATCTTACGGAAGTATAAAGGTTTAAACAATAAGTTAGCCAATTCTGGCAGGGCAAATATATAGAATATGGCAAAGACAAGTAAACAAAACCTTTCATCAAAGTTTTTGGGTAATCGAAACTGCCAGATAAAATGCTGAAGCTACTAATAAATCTGAACAAATGGAAATATTAATTGAAAACAGAGCAAAGGTGGTTGTTGGTGAGGGATTATGCAATATTACAAGTGAATGTTTATGCTTCTGACTTCTAGATTTAATGTTTTCATTAGTTTTAGTAATGCCATGTAGTACCAATAACATAAACCCAATATACCTTAATCACGCATCCTTCACCAATAACACTGTCTGTAACATCAGCATCAAGCATCTTGGATGGTGGTAAATATCGAGGCTGTGTATAGATCGGAGAAGAACGGTCATAGAAGCTGCACAGAAAAGGAATAAATCCAAGTTATTACTTCCAAATCAGTAGTACGGGGAAAAAAAGTTACATAATGAATTATTGATCTCATCTATCAGAGGATTCACCTGAAATCTGGTATTGGTTTCTTAGTTATCCCAAGATTTGCATTATAGAATGCTTCAATTGTACCAATATCTTCCCAGTAACCATCATACAAGTAGGCTTGCACCTATATGTCAGTGTGGTCATTTGTAAGTTTAATAAAAAAGATACATAAAATAAAGAGCCAAAACCAAGTGGAGCAGTACGCATTAAGCCAATCACATATTCCGCTATCCATAAAATAAACCTGTACTGTCTAATAATGAGACTTGCGTACATAAAAATAGATTAACCACAACCTATTGAAGGACATTCAGAATATAAGGAAATGAAATTCAAGCATGATGTTAGCAGCGTGTGTCTGTTAAGTAACTTGGGGACTTCCTTCGGGAATAACTTAGAGTAGAAACACAAGAGAAAATTGATATATTAAAAGTATATCATAATAAATTAGGTTTTATTAATATAGACCAACAAAACCATATTTGTAAGGTCTTGTGTATGAATAGATGTAAGAATAACTTAGAGTAGAAACACTGGACCTTTTTTGCAGAGAAAATTTATATATTTAAAAGTATATCATAACAAATTAGATTATACTAGTACTTAGACCAACAAAACCATATTTGTAAGGTCATGTGTATGAATAGATCTAAGAAAATTATTGAGATGCCCAACAAAAAAATCATTTCTCTTCTTTTCTTTTCTTTTCTTTTCTTTTTTTTGGTCATGCTGGAAACTAATGAATAATGATAACTACACATACCCTCATACCGATGCTAGTAGCACCAGGAATCACTTCACTTCCAAAGTCATTGGCTCCAGGAAATTTTTCACGAAGCAACTTCAACATCACATCTTTACTGACCACATAGATACCCATACTGGCTATAAAAGGCATCTCTTTTGCTCTTTCATCATCAAGCCCTAAAATGGTGGTATCAACCTGCAAAGAGCAATATAATAGATTAAAGACAATTAGAATGCACCATACCAATATCCATGTATCCAATTGCAATACACTAAACACATCCTTAATATATGAAAGAGGAAGTGGTTAGAAAGTATACCTTCATTGCCTGGAGCTGATCACCTTTTGGCTTCTCCGAAAATTCAATGATGCGCCCTTCTTCGTCAATCTTCATCAAACCAAAAGCAGTTGCTCGCTTTTCATCCATTGGCAATGCAGCAACAGTTATATCTGCATCTGTTTCCCTATGTGCTTGTATAAACCTTTCATAGTCCATGCGATAGAGATGATCCCCAGCAAGAACCAGGAATTCCATAATATTATGCTCCTCAAAGAGCCACAAATATTGTCTTACAGCATCAGCAGTACCCTAAAAAGTATAATGCAGTTCTCAGTTTCACTCATGCTGATATAAATATTATGGTTAGATAGGAAGATTCATTGTATTGACTATAATAACAAATGGTTGTATGGAATTTAACGTAATCATGTAGGAGAATCAAAAAATTGCATACAAAAGTACACCTCAAATGTCGAGTTCATCTGTAGGAAGTTATAGAAAATAACACTCACCATATAGAAAATAACACTCACCATCATGTTGTACAAAAATGTCATTAAATGATTAGGCAAGAGTAAGCAATGGATTGTGCCAGAGGGAGAGACCCATACATATGTCCATCGATGACATGTACAAATGTATAAATCATATAGCAAAAGAATATATGTAGGATTAATTTTTCTCTTGACAACAGTTAATATCAGTGGAACAATATTCTTTTGTCATTCAAAACAACCATAGTAAATAAATATTGTTTCTTGGGGTCATAGACTTGTACAGCTTTTTTAGGATTTAGCATGTTGGCATGTATGTGCCATGTCCTATCCATGTACGGTATCATGTCAATTTTGCATGCCAACGTCTCTGATCATAGTGAAATAAAGAGCTGCCTCCATGCCCGCATTACAGTGGTCTTTCTAATATCATATGACAAAAGTTGAAATTCAGTTTTCTTTTCTACTTCAGTCAGACACTTCTTTTGTGATTGAAAACAAAGATCCGACATTGTGGCTAGATGCTGGCGACATGTCTTCTAATACAACATAACTGTACTGTAGACCTGTTTCCCTAAAGTACTAGGACCAATGACACAACCAGAATGCACAAGCAGGAATTCACCTTCAGTGCAGAACTCATGCTCTCAACATAGAGAAATCAACAAGGCTGGAATATAGCAGAAGAGATGCAAAATAGGGCAGATAGCTAGGAAAAGGCAAACCTGAAACCAGTTAGGGTTCTCTGGACTCTGCTGAGCAGCAAGAACTTCGACAAACCCTTCATTCTTATAACCGCCCATATTACTTGCATAAGCCCGTGAAAGATGGCGGTTGAGTGATGCTGAATTGAACTGTGTGAGGACATATATCTTAGAGATGTTACTGTTCAGGCAATTGCTAACAGGAATGTCAATCAATCTGTAATTAGCCCCTAAAGGAACAGCTGGCTTAGCTCTCTTCTTTGTCAAAGGGTACAACCGGGTCCCTGCTCCACCTCCAAGGATAATCCCAAGAACACTCTACGACAAGGACAACAGAAAATCCATAAGTATCTCTCTTTATAATCAAACGAATTGATAATCGATTCATGAACTACCTATCAAAAAAGAAAATTTAACACACATAGAAAAGAACAGAACTCAACATGAAAATTCGATCAAAGATCAACAGAATTAATCAGATTCTTCAGAGTAAATTCATTTATCCGAAGTACATTATCACAGAATTAAGTCATAAAGGCGTCTCCAATAATGAAATATCCTTACAAACTAGGTCTCCATTAAAATCAGTGAACATGTGATTTTCTTTCAGACTTTCCAATAAAATATTGTTCATACGCTACGCTAGTTTCTCACTCATATTACGAAATGCATATATAGTTTTTTTTTTTTCTTTTTTTCACTTTTCCCCTGATTGAAAACAGAGTGATCTACCTTTCTATATCGTAAGAGTGACAAATATTAATGAATCCATTCCATTTCTTCACATACACATCCAAAATGATCCACTCATCCAATTAAACAACATAAAAATCAAATACTCCACGAAGTTCGAAACTTTTCTTTGAGTTCATTTTCGATAGAAACACACTATCACAAAAGGATTCCAATTTGCGCAGAAAATTCAAACTTAGTCACCGGATACATGCAGCAAAATAACACATTATAGAATATAATGTGCTCAAAATGTTAAAATTAACATTCCTAATCAAAATACAATCATTTTCAACCAATATCAACTCCTCAAACCCCAAAAAAAAAACACGCGCGCACACACGCGCGCAGCTACATATATTCAAACTCACCACACTAGCATCAGGATCCAAACAAGTCTGCGAGTTCCTCGAGTCCGAAACTGCCTTCGGAGACACCGAGATCGGAGATCTCCCTCTCGAGTCGCAATTTCTCGGCCGCAAAACCGCCTTCGAGCTCAACTTCTCGCCGGAGATCTGAGAACAAGATGAAGATAGGCCAGCGCTCGCGGATCTAGGCAGAGGCGTGGAGGATTTGGATCTTCGGTTTGATGGTATTAGGGTTTTCGAGGACGGGATTTGAGAAATTCCAGTGGTCGCCATTGCCATTCTCTAGAGAGAGAGAGAGAGAGAGAGAGAGAGAGAGAATCTCGCTCTCGAGATGTGATTCGTGAGGTTTATATCCGAGTTGGATCACGAGCTCAGTCTCAGCAGCTCTTGGTTTACTAGCCTCGTGATTTCGGTTTAATCACGAAAACGCCACTCCTGGATTTGCGTGGCTATTATAAATTAACTCGTGTTTAAGCTAGGACTTTTTTGCTTGTTAACCCAAAGTCTAGCGCGAATTTATTTTCGACTCCGCCGGCTTCCAAAAATCAGCCTTAGACCCAATTAGTTGTACAGAACATTTTTTTTTGTTAAATTACTAAATTGGCATTAAAAGTGATACCCTTTTACTAACAAGTTCTGAAAAGTAATATCGGTTACAACAAGAGCTAAATAGGGATCCAGTTTACCTACAAGGCGTTTTCGATCGTTGTTTTTTCCAATTTAAGCGGCAAAATTAGAAACGTGACCGCCAAAGGGCTTTGAATAGTGTATATTTAGACAATTTGGTATTTTAGCTCAATTTAGTAGTATAAGAGCTAAAATATCAAATTCACATGTCTTGTTGGTAAATTGGTCACTTTTTAGGTCTTGTTGGTAAAAAGACATTACTTTTTATGCTAATTTAATTATTTAGCCATTTATTTTTAGACATAAGTACTATATTTCAACCATTTTGTGCAATTAAGATACAACCTAAGAGTTGCTATATTTGAATGTAAATTGCTATATGGTTGAATACAGGTTTTATCTTTGGGTATAATTTATGCATAGTTTATGCATACAGGATGAACGAAATACATTATTGAGTTTAAAAATAATTAAGTATTGATCTTTCCACTTAAAGAATTATTTTGGAAGCTAATCGGTGTAGAGCTAAATCAGGGGAGGCCTTTGGGTTTATAAATAAAAACCTTTAAGCTGAAAATAGACTAATTATAAAAATATCTAATGTTTGACTAATTGTACTTAGGCCCTAATGAGAGTGAGAGAAGAATGGAAGTGAGGTACGGGCCCACGTGTACACAATATGCGGTGGAAGTTCAGAGCTGATGGTGGCTTGCACATGTGATGTGGGGTCCACGTATTTTGATGGGTAGTGTAATTCCGAGAAAATGTCATGGATGTTTTGGTGAGAATCTCACTTACGTGCAGCTCATGGGCCTACTGTCTCCATCGTCGTGGGTCATGTTAAATTGGGCCCATAATGCTAAATGCTGGATTCTACATTGAGTAATTACTATGGGTACTTAACGATATATGTATCCGAGAAAATATTTGTAACCATATTCATTAGGATACTAATAGGGTTACTCAAATCTATAAACAATTAGATATGGTTACGAATATAATTTTATAATGAAATATCTGAATTCATATCCAAAATATCCGGATACATATTAGTCATATTGTTATGATAGTTTTATACCTTAGATTATAAATTCAAAGTTAATTTTGATGATCAAGATGTCTAATCTTAACTTTTTAGATATAATAAACATATTAATGAACTCTTTTGCATCACATAAACTATATTTTTTTCAATACTATCTAATTTTCTCACATCCGTTTTGTGTCTAATACATATCTGTTTATATATCCGTATGTATATCCATATCAATATCGCATTTTAACGGATATAAATATGAATTTTCCTTACAGAGATATATGTATCCGTATCCATATTCGAAATGGGAAAGCGGATATGAATATGATAATTATCACATCTAAGCCATATCCAGACCAAATGCACCCCTAGTTATTACATTCAATAACTCCTAGCTTTTGCACCTTTCTAACTGACAAATGCTTTTATAGGGTACACGGACTCATGAAGTTTTTGTGGTCAGTGCAAATTGTGACTCAAATTTTGAAACAATCTGCACAATGGCCTACAAAGAGTACTTGGATAAAAATTCACATTAATAGGAAATTATTGTACCAACATTCACCTACCCATCAATCAATAAGAATAATTCAATATGTTTGAATATATCAAACATTTGACAAGTAATATTATCAAAGAGAAGGCGCTTGCAATACTG